AATTCAGATAAACCAAAAGGGCATGAAAGATTATGTATATATTTTGTAGTACACTGAAAGGTGCATTTTTGCTCCTTTTGGGTCACAGATCAAGTGAGAAGAAGTAACCAAAAGAGAGAAAAAGAGGAGGAGCAGTAAAAAAAATTCCATGTTTATTTATTTATAATATATTTATTAAATATATACTGGGGTATTCACAAAAGTGAGAATTCAAAGTGAGTTCAAAATTAATTTTATATGTAATGTCACAGCAGCCCAAATAGAAGCTGAATTTTCCAGTACAACTATTTTGCCCTTAAATTTAAAATTCTCTTTAAATTTACTTTGAATTCTCACTTGAGCGAATAACCCTGGTAATATATAAATATAGATTTTAATTTTTTTTTTTTGACTACTCCCTTTTTCCCCGTATTGGTCACTCACTTCTCACCTGATCTATGAATAAGAGCAACATTTTATTTTATGTATGTCCCCTAAAAATCATCTTTGTTTCCATCAATCATCTTTTTTGTGTGCCACAGATGGAACTCCAAATCATGAATCTATATTTATATATTTCTATGTTTCTATGAATCATAGAAAATGGTTTCATAAATTGTCTGTTTTCATGATTCATCCATATAGAGTTTCAAATGTAGAATTACTTTTGCCCAAAACTCTAATGAATCACATTTTATTTGTAACTGAATGAACAAGTCTGTTAATTGACATTCAGAAGGCTAGGCTTGGGGATGTACTCTAACAAATCATGGACCGTCATGTCTAGCCACCTTGCAATATTTATTTTGACTGTCCACTGTTTGTAGAAGACAGTACACACTGATCTTGGAGATATGCTGTAATTCCTGTCTCTGCCAGACTCACCATTTACAGCTGGATATGCAACTTAAATTAGGGTTTCCACCTGGCCAGTATTTTGCCGACACAGCTGGTACTTGAGTTTTTTTGGCCGGTGCCCTTATTGCAAAATTACAGGTACACAAACACTGGTATTTTTCTATGACTGGACACTGGGTGAGGGCTACATTGGAGGTATCACAAACTTTAACCAGTGCCCGCGCCGCTCCTCTCCTCAGGCCACGCGGCAGAACGCACCACATGGCCGCGCGGCCTGAATAGAATGCTTACCTTCGGTCCCGCGAACGTCTCCCTCTGCTGGTTTGTGGGACGAACTGCAACCCCTAAAAATAAAATGTAAAGCCATGACGTCATTACCTTAAAGGGACCACGTCATCTAGGCGAACCAATGCTGGTTGGGCTCACAGAGATGACGTGGACCAACGGGAACTCTTTTGAGCCTATTTAAGTCTTGTTTTAGCCTCCACTCCTTGCCCTATCGTGGTTTCTGTTTGGATCCTCGTTTAGTGCTCCTAGTGATTCCCTTGTGATTTCCTGTGTTTGACCTCAGCTTTGTATTTTACTTGTGATTTCTGGTATCCTGACCCTAGCTTTGTATTTGACTCGTGATTTCTGGTATCCTGATATCGGCTTCGCATTTGACTTGGGATTTCTGATATCCTGACCCTGGCTTCGTATTTGACTCGTGATTTCTGGTATCCTGACCCCGGCTTTGTCTTAACTTTAGTATTTCTGTTATTCCTTTCCTTGATTTATCCTGACCCTGTTTCTTGTTGTATTGATACGTTCGGCCATTCTAAGGCTTGGTAATACGTCTTTCCGATCCACCTTTTGTTGGTTTCCTCTTTCCTGCATGTTGGGGTAGACTACCGTGACAGCAGGTACACAGATTGCCATATTCACATAGTGACATCGCCCCACTCAGAAACACGCAATGAACACATTGCCACACACACTCAGACACAGTAAGCACACACTGTTTTATACACACTTAAATGAAGTATACACACAATGACACACTGATATGCACACACACTCAGACACAGTATACACACAGTGCTATACACACACTAAGACAGTACACACACATTGCTATACACACACTCATTAAGAGAGTACACACGCAATGACACCAGGGCCGGCGCTATCATTAGGCGGGTGCCGGCCTTTGGGGAGAGCCCACCTGGCTGCCCTGCTGCTGCTGTCTGAGGCTGGTATGCTGGGCGAGTGGCTTCTTGGCCACCCCCCCCAGCGCACCCATCCAGCTGCTAAGCTCCCTCTGCAGCCCATTACCTGCTCAGGGAGCACCTGAGCACAGCATTCTGCTTCCTGCAGGCAGGGGAAGCCAGGACATGACCTGGTATCCTGGTTGCCCCCTGCCTGTGAACATCAGAAACTCTCTGAGGGGAAGCAGCTTGTGCTCAGAGTGTACTGCTCTCCTGCTCCCCCAGCAGAAAGAAGGAACAACATCCTGCATGCTGGTGGCTGGACCCCTTCTCCTCCATTCACAGCAATAGGACAGGTATGTAATATCTGGAGGCTAAGGGAGACAGGCTATCCTGTGCATCGTTGTAAATTGGTGTGTGCTAAATTACTATGTGTGTAAATAAAGTGTGACTTCATGTAAAGTAGTGTGAGTTTGTGTTTGAGTGACAGTGTGTGTGTTAGTAAGACTGTGTTAGTGACACTGTGTATGTCAATGTACGTGACACTGTATGTCAGTGTGTGTGTGTGTGTGTGTGTTAGTGAGACTGTGTGTATGTCAGTGAAAGTGTGTAAGTGACACTGTAAATCAGTGAGAGTGAGTTAGTGAGACTTTGTAAGTGACACTGTGTGTGTATGTCAGTGAGAGTGTGCAAGTAACTGTGTATGTCATTGAGAGTGTGTGCATGTGTTAGATTTTGCAAGTGACACTGTGTGTATGTCAGTGAGAGTGTGTGTTAGTAAGCGTGTAAGTTACACTGTGTATGTCAGTGAGGATGTGTGTGTTAGTGACACTGTGTATGTAAATAAGAGAGTGTGTATATTAGTGAGAGTGTGTAATTGACTCTATGTGTATGTCAGTGAGAATGTGTTAGTGACACTGTGTGTATGTCAGTGTGAGTATAAGTGTATTAGTGAGAGTGTGTAAGTGATAATGTGTATATCAGTAAGAGTGTGTAAGTTACACTGTGTATGTCAGTGAGAGTGTGTTAGTGAGTGTGTATGTTAATGAGTGTGTGTATATGCCAGTGAGAGTGTGTGTGTGTGCTAGTGTATGTGTGACCATGTAAAGAGATCCTTATTATATATTATATTATTATTATTATTATTAAGTTCACTGTAACGTAAATTAAGTCCCACCATTATTAGAAATTAAATCCAAACCAAATGCATTGATGTACGTTTTAGGCAGTATGATTGTATGGATATATGTATTAGGCAGTATGAGTGTATGGATGGATGCAGGGCCGTCTTAAACACTGGTCAAAAGGGGCAGTTGCCCCGGGCCCAGTCAGTCTTAGGGGGCCCAAAGCAGCTGCCTCTTTAGTCCTCTGGCCACCGTGGTGCATGCGGCCCGCGTGGAACTACCACCGCAGGCCGCATGATGTGGAGGCTCATCGGGTGGCCAATGCTCTAAGGGCCACACGATGGCAATGGATTTTCAGGGACCCAGCCACTTTGTGAGCGCGACCGGGCCCCCAGTGATGATGTCAGGGTGTAGGGAGGAAGAGACAGCCGGTCACTTCCTCCCAGCATTCACCGAGTGCCGCGCGGGAGGAGGAGAAGAAAAGGAGGGAGTCAGAGTGGGTGCTCTGACTACCATCAGCCTGAGCCAGCCTCCTGCACTCCAAAAGTAGGAAACACATAAAAAATGTGCATGTATGTATGTGTCTGTTTGTATGTATCTGTATGTATTTATGTATGTGTCTGTCTGTTTGTATGTATGTGTCTGTATGTATGTAAGTGTCTCTCTGTATGTAAGTGTCTCTCTGTATGTATCTGTATGTATGTGTATATCTGTGTGTATGTAAGTGTCTGTATGTATGTGTCTGTCTGTATGTATGTGTCTGTCTGTGTCTGTTTGAATGTATATATGTGTGTTTGTATGCGTGTATCTGTTTGTATGTGTGTATCTGTTTGTTTGTCAGTGTCTGTATGTAAGTGTCTGTTTGTATGTATGTGTCTGTATGTATGCATGTGTGTATCTGTTTGTATGTATGTGTGTGTCTGTTTGTATGTGTATCTGTTTGTATGTGTGTATGTGTGTGTTTGTGTGTTTCTCTATCTGCATGTGTCTCTTTGTGACCCTGTGTATCTGTATGTGTTGCTGTGTGTCCGTATGTGTGTCTTTGTATATATGTGTATCTGTGTGTCTCTGTGTCTGTTTGTATATGTGTATATCTTTATGTGTATATGTTTGTATGTGTATCTGTGTGTATGTTTGTATGTGTGTCTACATGTCTTTGTATCTGCATGTGTGTCAGTGTGTATCTGTATGTGTGTCTGTGTATCTGCATGTGTGTCTGTGTTTGCATCTGTGTGAGTGTCAATCTGCGTAATTGAATGTGTATCATTCTCTGTGTATGTGTAGTTGCATGTGTGTCTGTGTATCTGTATATGTGTCAGTGTCGGTATCTGTGTATCTGCACGTGGGTCCGTGTATGTATCTGTATGTTATTGTGTGTATCTGCATGTATGTCAGTGTGTTTGTTTGTGTGTTAGTGTTTCTGTTTATCTGCATGTTTGTCAGTGAGTGTATCTGTGCATCAGTGTATGTAGGTGTGTCAGTGTGTATCTGTGTCTCTGCATGTGTGTCTGTGTATCTCTCTATGTATGTCTGGACCTGTGTATGTGAGCTTCTCTATGTATGTCAGTGTTTCCATCTGTATGTGTGTTAGTGTGTGTATTTTGTCTCAGTAAGAAATGAGAGGGTGTGTGTTCCTTTTTAATTTTTGTGTGGGCGTTGATGGCATGATTGCATGCTAGGAAGGGAAAGGGCTAGGTCAAGGGGCCCCAATCAAATACCAAGGGTCCAATCAGTATTAAAAACAGCCCTGGATGAATCTATTAGGCTGTGTGTGTGTGTCTGCTTTCACTTAATGTCTACCCAGTGCGTCTCCTTCCCTAAATGTATCCTCACTGCAATTTAGAGTTTAGTAAAAAACCTCTGAGGGAATGTAGTTGCATCCATGAGGGGGCGGCAAAATGGATTGTTGCCTAGGGTGGCAAGAATCCTTGCACTGGCCCTGTTTGACACTATACCACACACACTCGGACACAGTATACACACACTGCCACAAGACTGTCATACATTGCTTTACACACACAGTATGTACACTGCTACAGAGACAATATAAACAAAAACTTTGACACATTGATAATGCTACATGCACATTTATTATTATTATTATTAATTGTATTTATATAGCGCCAGCTTATTCTGCAGCGCTTTGATCTATGGACATTTCCTCTTCGAATGTTTATGTCAATTCTTGTGATGTTACAAAATATCCTGTGATGTCATGTCCTGTGATGTCAATCATATATATTTGAATGTGTATATTAGCATGGCCGGTATTTGTTGTCAATAAAGGTGGCAGCCATCCATTAGGTACACACATTGATATGTAACCTTCACAGTGTGCAGTATTAGAAACTATTTGGAGTGAATACAGTGAGAAATGAATTTGCATAATAAATTACTGGCATGAGGAGAGATACTAATTAAAAGCACTCTTAGGACTTGTTGTTCACCTGTTTTTTTTATCTGTAGCAATATTGATGAAAGATTGATTTATCCCTTTCCTTTCTTCACAGGAACGCAAGAGTAGGTTAACCATGGTTTAGAGAACAACTAGGGGACAACAAAGGGAACGTAAGGAAGACCACCAAAGACAGTAACCGAAAAGCATCACACACTGGAAAACTGACCATTGGAAGGATAGATAAACGGGGTAAGAAATAGGGCAGAGGAACAGAAAAGAGATTGAGGAAATATAGTCATAAACTGGACAGCGGTAAATAGCAAACAGGACTCACCACAGTCTGTCTTGAACTTCATGGGTTACCTGGATGAAGATAAACATGACAATCGATTCTTTGTAGTCTTGATAATTGCTCATGCAAAACTTGGTGTTTGGCATCTACTTTTTTTAAATATACTTTTTAAAGAAAAGCTAACTTGCTTATTGAAAAATAATTTCAATTGAGTTTTAACTTTGCTGAGCAATTTGTTTGTTTTTTGTGACTGAGTATTTAACACACATGATTTTTTTTATAAAATAGAAAATAAACACAGTGATGAAATGTGTTGCTTATTATGTGACCTGTTAAATAAATGTTACTTTGATTCTGAATGAGATTTGGATTCTTGATTTATGGCTGAACAAAAAGTTGTTGATTTCATGTCTGATACAATGTCATGTCTGATTGACATCACATTTTTCAACAAAACACATTCAAGGTTTCAGGAGATGCAGTGTGCAATTAAGTTACTCGTAAAATGTTTTCTGATGTCTTCTATACTTTTATAAAAAGAAATCCCCAAACATGCCAACAGTTGTGGATGACATCCATGTGTTCCTTTGTCTGAGTCAGCCAGTTACTCAGAGTTCCAGTGGAACAGTTATGTTTGTGATTGACAGAAGTCAAATCTTTGTGGTGTGGTGCTTTTATTGGAAATGGGCTGAAACATAAGTCTTTAAAGTAAAAATGTCTATTCAGCAGAGTTTACAGGTCAATGAAACTTTAAATGGATATTATCATGTTATGACAACTTACTGTGTGCTAAATAAACATGACGCTGTAAGAAACAAACCGTGACATCCGGAAGAAAAGAGTGATCATTATCTCAGGTTCAGAATGTACGTATTAATTTATTGTTACACGAACTGCCATGTGGTACATAGTGTATATATTCACACAGTCAGGGAGGTGTTTCTGCCACCTTTATATAAAGTGCAGATTTTTACTGTAATCTGTGCTTTTATAAATTGTCACAAACATAACAGAGTCCAGGCACATAAAGCACCTCATCAAGCAGAACTGCATTATATGTCTGGAGTGTTCCTTTAAAATAAACATCACGCCCCCTCAGGACCAATGGCCTATTGGTTGAGTCATGATATAAATGGGACTTGTTAAACATTTGTACATAAGGAGACCAACCTCTATGAGGAAAAGAGGGTAGACTAATCATGACAGTGCTGGAACTTCATCCATCATGGAGGGGTGAGCAATAAAAAGTACAAAATCAATACAGTTCACATACTGCATATACAGTATATTCAATGGGTTCCATAGCCACACCATAGCCATACAGATGATTGTGAAGTTGAGTCCTTTTGATGACTAACTACCAGAAGTGAATCTTAGGGCTCAGGGACTCCCATATTTCTAGACATATGGAAAAAAAACCTTTGTATGGCAAACAGAGGTGGCTGGGCCCTGGCCTGGGATCTAGATTTCTCCCACTCTGCTGTCGGTACTTGTCCAGCTTCAAGGTAGTTCACCGCAGGGAACTTTTTCTTCCTATCAAGTTTGGTAGGCTGCTCCTCTGTAATGCTAAAAACACTGCTGGGAGAATGGGGAGATGTAACTTTCCAATGCATATACTTAGAGTGGTATAGCTTTTCCCTGGGATACCCACAAACATTGTCCGAGACTGAATCTAGTGAGTCAGAGAACTGCCTTTAATGGGAGACACATAGGGTAATAATACATAATAGACAATTTAACAGCCAATTACACAAAGTCTTGGATTGTCCCCTATTGTTCCCAGTTGGCATTATTAAATTGGAGATTGCATCCTTTGATAGCCTTCTCAGTCTCCAGTTCAAGGACTTTACTGAACTCTCCTTCTGCCAGTCTCTTGGTGAAAGTTTGGTGCATGTCTGAAATGGCATTGCCTTGAAATTAACAGCAAAGATAGATGGGGGAATCTTGGCATCATAACAAAGCTCTCCTGGGATGTACCAGGAGGGGTGATCTCTCTGGTGGTCAACTCAGGAATAACCTCAGAAAACAAGAACATTTACAACTATACGGGCAAAAAGAAATTATCCCTGCCAAGTCCAATTTGATTTTGTTACAGTTACAACTGTGCTAGAGGATAAACTGTCGGCAAGGTCTGAGAGCTGAAGCAATCTACCACTGGTAACAAATGCATACAAAAATTCAAACATCTAGTATCAACCATAAAGGATTAATACACTTATAGAGCAATATTTTTACTATCGCGGGAAAGAAATGCAACATGTTCCCCCTCCTGGGAACAAGATTTAAACTCTAGAAATTTCTCAATTACATTTCTAACACTTAGCCCTTTGTATACCAAACATATGGAGATGATCAGGATACCATTTATTCAACAAATGTAATTACATTCCAAAATCATGATATATTTCTAAAAGAATAATAAAGAAGGAGAATACATAGTGTAATCTGTAAGAATTATAAATATACAATCTATTCTTACACCCAAGGGTGCCTATCCAGGCAATGATACCTCCTCTGTGTGAAGGAAAGAAGGAAATAGACAGCAACAAACGTGGGTATCAATATAAAAATATTTTATTAAACAAAACAAAATAAAATCTATTAAAACATTGGTGGGATATTGGCACCTATTATATGGTGGTAAGGTGCTAAACAGCCAAAAAGAATGGCCTTACCGCTGGTGATGTTCCATGCAACTACTATAAATAAAGCAGATACAATTTGACCTTCTAGCACTGAGAAGAAGACTAGAGGCTTTCTTCTGAACCCCATGTACAGTTGTCATCTCTGTAGAGAAGAGAGAGCCCCAGTCATTAAAAGTGGTACTCCTTGGGCTGTGTGTACTGGATCTCCAGGAAGGGAGAGCATGAACTCTCCTGGCTGGGTATTTTCAAAAAGTGTCTGGGGACCATAAAGTAAAATTTTAAATGTTAAAAAAGTAGAAATTGTCCATAGCCAGTAGGACAGAAAACTCCCCCTTCTGGAAAACCTGTTTAGTAGAAGGGGTATTTATAACATGGTTTACCCCTGAATGGAGGATCAGCACCAGGGGACTCCATGCTTTATAACCAAGTCAATGAGATGAAATACTTGTAATGACTACAATGTCCCTTTAATATTTTTGACAGGAACCTAAATGATTTAAACATATGGAGATTATGAATCGGTCATATGGTGACTCCGAGATTTGGATGACCCTATATGTCTCAATATGTGCCTAGGAGGACTGTTTGAACCACTTAAATATCCAAGTACCACTGCAAAGAATGTTCTTCCTCTGGATTATTGGACATACCTTTGGATTTAAACAAAGGAAAACATACATTTAAGGAGAGTTTAAGCAGTATATATTGCACTTAGTATGTTTATCTCTCCTGCTAAGATTAGTGTAGGACCAACTTAAATTGGGGTATTTTGAAGCAGTGGTGGGCTGAAACACGGTATGACCATATGGTGTGACTAAATTCCCATATTTATTTGATTACATAGGAGATTTTATTGGCCTTCTAAGATTTAAATCTGTGTAATAACACTGTTCCTTTAAGTTGTTGTTTTGCGTTATAAAAATACATATTCTGGATGTGCCCCCAATTGTGCCCCAATTCTGTTTTCCTTTATATGCATTAATGACACAATACTTGATGGTAGTTGTTCACTGCATAGTGAATGATGGTGAAATTATGAAAGTAATTACAATATTTATATTTACATAAGATGGGTGAAAAAATTAAAAATGTTGAATTTCCCAATATCCCTTTATTGACCTAAATGTTCCATATCCACTAGTTTGTGAATAAACCTCATAGCATGACAAATAGAACCAAATGTATACATTTCATTTTAAGAACTCCTTCTATTAAGCTTAAACAATATGATATAATTATCTGGCTCCATAATGTACTAATTGAATCTATATTCAAGCTAATGTTTACATTGAGAGTAATCTAGTATTCACACATACTCTATAAATGTCACCATTATATACCCTGCTAGTGTAATTGAGATTGTGTCTCGTCACCTAGTATACAATTACTAATATCATATTATAAATAGACAACATAAAATATCTTGCCATGTTGGTCACTTAGGTTACAGTGTCACTTCACATTGCAACTCTTCAAATGTCAATGAATATGGTGTAACGAATGCAACTCTTCAAATGTCAATGAATATGGTGTAACAAATGCAACTCTTCAAATGTCAATGAATATGGTGTAACGAATGCAACTCTTCAAATGTCAATGAATATGGTGTAACGAATGCAACTCTTCAAATGTCAATGAATATGGTGTAATGAATGCAACTCTTCAAATGTCAATGAATGTGGTGTAACGAATGCAACTCTTCAAATGTCAATTAATATGGTGTAACGAATGCAACTCTTCAAATG